TCCTGCTGGGGGTCTGCCAGAGCCCGAGAGTGGCACGGACCTCCTTAACCTTTCCCAAAACTGTCAAGTGCTCAAGCAACCAAGTACACACAAGCATTCCATATCTGTACAGTATATTTCCACTCATACTTAGTGAGGGCAGGCCCCTGCTAGTGAATCCCTAATATGTGTCAAGCTTCAAAAATCCTGGATCCTAGATCAGGATATCTGTGAAAACTGAAGTCTCCAAGCCCAAGCTGAAACCTGATGACATTACTTTTACAGGCTTCGGAACATTCACACCACAGGGGCTGAATGCGTGAGCAAGTGACATAGATGATGTAAAATAAATGATGTTAAAATATTTATTTGGTGGAGATGTACTGCTCAAATGTTCAGCTAATAAAGTGACTGTAAATATGACAAAAGCTTCTACAAATGTTTTGTCATATATGAGGTGTTATCTGATGGGAAATCCATTTAAGCCAAACTCCACTGATAGCAATACACAGAATGCTATAATCACCCATACATACAATACATACCACTGAATACAACATTTGAGCCTTTGTTCATTTGAACATGTCACAACACGTTTTTCACTGTTGACATTAGTTCGTGGTGTCTGAGAAATGCATGCGAGTCCAGTTTAAACCATGAGATGGCAGTACCATCTTATTACATGGCAGAATGCTGGCATTACTCCAGGAGCATAAGCACAAGGATTATGAATGAACACCAGATGAACATTTACTGACTCCGTGAGCTAAGAAATCAGCACATGGATTTGTTTATACAATATCCTGTTTGTTTATAAAGTATGTATGTGTATCATACTGCTTAAATCTATATCTTCACTCTGAGCTGAAAGCCAATGCAGAGGACTGCATATATCTTCCAGTCATAGAGAATGAAGGTGCTGAGCCAGACCTGCTGAGGACAGTCAGGTAAATTGCACACACACACACACACACACACACTCACCTTTTAATATTTAATATTCAGCTGTTTACTGGGCATCATTGACTTTACCGAGCAGGCCAGTGACTCTCATGAGTTTGCAAAAGCGAAGTCATGGCAGTTTCTATTCTTACTTTTTGGGAACCATTGAATATGTCAGCCTGTACAGATTAAACTCCTGTGGGTCAGTGAGATGGTCTGCCTGGTAGTGCTCCATGTCAAATCCCAAACTCAGCACTATTGCTATGGTGGATTATAAAGCTGAAAAACAATACCAAATTGCATACTGTGGTTTGCCTTCCATTCTGTTGTCTGGCCTTTCCACCTCAGATTAAGTCCTCATTTCTGTTGCAGCTTGTGGGAGGATGAAGTGCTCAGCTGACTAATCCTCAGATAACCCGCCAATAGTCAGCATCCAATATTCCACCTGTCATTCAGACGAAAGACTGTGTGCGCATGCTTTTAAAAGGCCATGTGTTATTTTATAAGGATAACTATAGTGTTGCTATGCAGTACTCTGATAGAATGGAACAAGTAGTATGTCACTGATGTCGATTTTGAAATCCTGTATCAATAACAATTATAACATTAAAAACTGGATTACAAATACTGCATGACAGTGACGGTAGATATTGTAGTGCTTCTCTATGCCCTATACTCACCAAAAGAGGTCAGTATAAACATAAAAAACAAACAAATGTAAAAATTTAGATAAGCCTTAATTCATCAAAAAGAAATAAATGTTATTTAATAGGCAGCATGACCACTGGACACAAAAACGTGTTTGGCCCTCATAATCAATAATCCTATACATGTGTGTTTTGTTTCCCAGATAGCCTTATAATCAAAAAAGAAAAACTGGATTACGTATGTGGCAAACCAAACCAAGCTGAGCCATGTTTTCTGCCAGTCTGCATGTCACTGATTGGTTGTTCACTCGTTCTTTAGAGAAAAATTAATAAACATTTGACACAACTTTAAATCACACGCTCACCACTGGTTAATTCAGCATCAATTTCCAACTGTATCTCATATTTTTTATGTAGGGTTGTGATAAAAGTCAGGCTCTTTTAATAGTTCACAAAGTTAAAGCTTCTGGAGTTCTTATACAATGGTGTCTCGTAACACTTTTTGAGCCAAGTCACTGACACGTCCTCCTGGTTTTTTCCCCACTTGTTTTTACAGTAGAGTGTATGTTCAGGTTTTATAACAAAAGGGAGGGGAGGGAACCAACATTAGGACTGTGGGGAGTTAAGGAGATGATCTGCCTCAGTGGAAACTCAAATGCACTAGACAAACCAGTGTCATTCACACCATTGCTGATATAGAAAAAAAAGTGAAGATATTGATGTATAATGCACTGTTTACAATCCAGAGCATCTGTTTTGGTCACTGTTAAGGGCTTAATGGATGAAGGATCAGTCATTAGAGAAGAAAGTCACCACTGGGCTGACCTAACAGGTCAGTCCATGGAGCTACCAGGTGAATCCTTGCCATTAAGTTTAACATTGTGTAAGTGACTGGAATGTGAAATGTGAAATGACACAAGTCACAGACCTAGGAAATGTAATGCAGGGTGGTCCAGGGGTTACTGTAATACACCAATCAGCCTTGACATTAGGACCACTGATAGGTGACGTGAATAACAATTATCTCATTACAATGTCATCTGTGAGCATGTGGGGAAGGAATATTAGGCAGCAAGTGAACATTCAGTCCTCAAAGTTGGTGTGTTGGAAGCAGGAAAAATGGGCAAGTGTATCTGAATAACTCTGACAAGGGCCAACCTGAGATGGCTGACGACTGGGTCAGAGCATCTCCCAAGATGCAAGTCCTGTTGGGTGTTACCAACCAACTGTTCCACTGACAACTGTGTACACAGTATTAAGCGGGTGGTCATAATGTTATGGTTGATCAGTGTATAATGGAAGGATCCATTAAGCATTTGTCCTCCATAAGGCAACATCATCATCAGTACTGTACAAACATAACCATAGCACCTTAAATCCTCAGTGGAGCTACTCTGAGCTACAGCCATTACAAGCAGCACTGTGGTTGAGTCTGAGGACAGAATGAAAGGAGGTACATAAATCCACAAACTATGAAAATGTTCCTGTCTCATATTGTTTCTATAGAGCTATCAGAGTACTGCATACAGAGATGAATCATACACATAGCACATAAGGCAGAATCACTCTCTCCAACATGTACCCTTCTCAATCAGCTGAACACAATCAGTGTTGATTTCTCACACCTCACATGCACCTACTGTATTCACACCCCCCCACTCACTTTATACTCTTTAACATATGGGAAGAAATGAGAACCCATTTCAAAGCCATTTAAGGGTGTCTCATTCAAATCTGCTTTTCCACACATTTTTCCCACTCATTCTCTATTATAATCATGTCAAATCAGCCGTTTGAGCTGGAAAATTTTGCAGGTTGATGTGACACCACAGAATCGAGTTCACACCATTAAATCAAATACAGTGCTTGGCTGGTAGAAACACACATCATCCCCAGCATATTCAAGTGAAATACACCAGCTTCATGAATATACACTGCTCATTACTACCATCAAGCCGGAAAGAATAGGCATCTTATTTGGCCATTTCCCTTGTACCATACAGTAAGCAAGCTTACTTAGACATCAGAGAGGATGCTTGCATGGATGGTGCTGATATCTGGGTGTGCTTGTGCCCTCTACTCACTGAATTGATGGCCAAGCCAAATCAAACATGTTTTATTTGAACTGCATCAAATAGAGTTAAAGGGTTCACAGACAGAGAGTGTAAAGGGCTGTGTGCTGGGTTGCATACTGTCACTGGGAGTAAACCAGGAAGAGCAAACTGTTTTTGGCATATATTCTTGGTAAACACCCTTAACTGAAATAAATAAAACACAATGTATTTCTGTAATAACCAACCATGCATCCCACCAAAAGCCAAGCCAAGCATTTTAATAGGACTAGTTTGTTGACACAAAAAGGAGGCAGAGGGCTGAGGATAACAATGCAGGACTTGTCAGGCAAAAAAGTTTAATCTGTCAATACTTTTGCTGCAGTGCACTACTTTGGTTGATCATTGACATGCAAGCTCACGTTGCTGATTGATTACATAATGTGAAAAGAGTAAGTCCATTATTAACCAGAAACAGTTGTGATCTCCTGTCTCACAGTATTACAGTATAAACAGCTGTACAAGGTTTAGGCCTTTCAAAGACCTTCAGATTTCGGGATGCTGTCAAACTGGATCGTTTCCTGG